TGTCCATTTGCAACTCCACCCTACCCCAAGGTTCATGAGATGAACAAATCTGAATCTACACTACCTGAGGAAGCTTCCAAATAAATATGACTGATCATGGCTTTACTGTTCTTAAGGAGATTTTTACAGAATTTTCCTATATACCCTATGTAAAACTTTGATTGCCAATTGTGGCTCCATCCTATCCCCAGGGGTAAAGATTTGAATAAACTTGAATCTGCACTACCTGAGGATGTTTCCACATATATACAACTGATCATGGCTTTGCTGTTCTTGAGTAGAAGTTTTGTTTTTTTTTTTAAATTATTCTATGTACTCCTATGTAAAACATTGATTGCCCATTATGCACCCTACACCTGGGGGTCATTATTTTAACAAACTTGAATCTACACTACATAAAGTGCTTCCAAATAAATATGACCAATCATGGCTTTGCAGTTCTTGTGAAGGTTTTTCTTATATATATCCATGTAAAACTTTGATCTCCCATTGTAGCCCTACCCTACTCCAGGGGGTCATGATTTGAACAAACTTAAATTTTCACTACCTGAAGATGCTTATATATAAATATGATCTGTCATGGCTTTGCTGTTCTAGGAAAGAAGATTTTGAAAGATTTTCCATTTGTGTTCCTTTGAAAAATTCTGATTGCCATTGTGGCCCCACCTTACCCCCAGGGGTCATGATTTAGACAAAATTGAATCTATACTACCTGAGGATATCTTCAAATGGATAAGACTAATAATGACTTTGCTGTTCCTGGGAAAAGGGTTTTTCCTATGTTCATATGTATTAAGATAGATAGAAAGATGTATATAGATGTACATATGTATTTGTATGTAAAATTTTGATCACTCATAGTGGCCTCACCCTTCCCCCAGGGGTCATGATTTGAACAAACCTGAATATACACTAGCTGTGGATGCTTTCATATAAATATGACTGATCACGGCTTTGCTGTTTTTTAAGAGCCCACCATTTTAATCTATATTATGTCTGGAATATTTCATATAAGTTTCATCTTTTCTGCCCCAGTGGTTCTTGAGAAGAAGATTTTTAAATGACCTCACCCAATTTTTACATTTCCTTAATTATCTCCCCTTATAAGAGTGTGGCCTTTCATTTGAACAAACTTGGATCCTCTTTACCCAAGGATACTCTGTGCCAAGTTTGGTTTAAATTTTCCCAGTGGTTCTGGAAAAGGAGATGAAATTGTAAAAAGTTTACAATGACAACAACGCCAATGACAACAAAAGACAACAGACAAATTTTGATCAGAAAAGCTCACTTGAGCCTTTGGCTCAGGTGAGCTAAAAATCCAAGTATATACCATATAAAGTATGATGAGCATAAAGGTTCTTAATCAAACTAACCTGTTTTTTAATTAGCATAGCAAAATAAATTTCTTGCACCAAAAAACAGACATAAAGATTACGAACAGTAACTGACATTTCTGGTTTGAATAATTAACAGATAAAATGAAATATTTTACTGATTCCTTAAATAGCATTTTAAAGAGTCCATTTGACAAGATAACAAACAAAAAAATATGAAAATGCTTGTCAATTTTTGCCCCCCCCCCAAAAAAAAGGATGTAACACCCCCTTCCCACCACCACCACCAAAGGATGTACTACAACAGTCATGTTTTTATCTCATTCAAAACTTACTTTTCAAAAGCCATAGCCCAACTTTTATTAGTTACAGGTAAAGAAAAACATAGACTTCATTTTTCTGTAAAAAAAGTAAATGTGTGCATGTCTATTGTCTGATGAATTTCAGATAAATATTAAAGCAGTGATGGAAACATATTGCGAGGAGGCAGACTTTAATTGTTGTGTATTTAGTGGGAGATAAAAGAGAAAATAAAACATGCTAGCTCAGAGTGAAAAAGAAATCCTGGAATTACATGATTAGTAAATAGAGCAATATGTTGAATCAAGCAACTCTATTTTTTTCTTAGGCCAAGACAAACACTTGGGTAATATTGGAGTTTAATTTTTGTGCTGTATATCTCGGGGGTTAAGTCCACATTGATGGAGACATCTGTAACTGTTTGCTTTGGATAAGGCTGCGGGAGTTTCATGACTAAATTTGTAAAATATGTGGTTTCCACGGAAACATGCTGATTATTGGAAATATTTGTACCAAACAAATTTTCACCCACTTTTGCAATTTGTCTGTGTATAGTTAATCAAAAGTGAGTACACTGTAATAGCAAAACTACCACCAATAGCCAAAATTGATTCATAATTTTTATAAATCTTCCTATCTAGCGGACATTTCATAATTCTATTATAAGTGATAAACAAGAGGCCCCTGGGCCACAATGCTCACCTGAGTCACTTTGGCCCTGCTGTTCTTCATCAGATTTTTCCGCTTTATCATGTTTATATAGTGTATCATGTCATGTGTATTCCTATGCAAAATTTTGTGCTATATACAGGGGCCATGATTTGAATGAAATTAAATCTACACTACCAGAGGATGCTTCTATATGACTAAACATGGCTTTGCTGTTCTTGAGAGGAAAAGGTTATTTAAAAAAAATCTTTTCCTAAAAATTCTTTTGTAAAACTATGACGATCTAGTGTGACCTCACCCTACCCGTGGAGTTCAAGATTTCAATGAATTTGAATCTACTGGTACATCACCTGAGGATGCTTCCACATTGAAAAAAGGATTCATCATGGCTTTGCTATTCTTGAGAGTTTTAAAGACTTTTCCTATAAAATCTAATGTACAACTTTGATTGCGTATGGTGGCCCCAAGTTGCTTCTATATGAATATGACCAATCATGGCTTTGCTGTGCTTGAGATGACTTTAAAACGTTTTTATGCCTCCCTATCGAAGATTAGGGGGTATATAGTTTTTGCCCTGTCCGTCCGTCTGTCTGTCTGTTTATCTGTTTGTCCACAAAAACTTTAACATTGCCCATAACTTTTGATTGGTTAGAGCTATGGCTTTAATATTTCACATGTGTATTCCTTGTGACAAGACATTTCTTTGGGTACCATCATATTTGACCTTTTCACCTTGACCTTGGAGTTTGACCCAGTTTTACAAAATTTTACCCAACTTTAACCTTGGCCATAACTTTTGAACAGTTGGTGCTAGGGCTTTCATACTTCACATGTAATCCTTGTGACAAGAACTTCCTTTGGATACCAACAACTTTGATCCTTTGACCTTGACCTAGGAGTTTGACCTACTTTTGAAAAACTTTAACCTTGGCCATAATTTTTGAACAGTTGGTGCTAGGGCTTTCATATTTCACATGTGTATTTCTTGTGAGAAGGCCTTTCCTTGGGCACCATTAATTTTGACCATTTGACCTTGACCTTGATGTTTGACTTACCTTTGAAAATTTTTAACCTTTTCCATATCTTTTAAATGGTTGCTGCTAGGGCTTTCATATTTCACAGGTATATTCCTTGGGACAAGACCTTACTTTGGGTACCAACATATTTGATTTGCATTTTAAAAAGTTTAACCTTCGCTATAAGTTGCCATACGGGGGGCATCAGTGTTTCACAAACACATCTTGTTTCATATATATTCCTATATCAAACTTGTGAACCCCTATTGTAGCCCCACACTACCCCCAGGAACCATGATCTGAACAATTTATAATCTACACTACCTCAGGAAGTTTTCATGTAAGTTTCATCTTTTCTGGCCCAGTGGTTCTTCAGAGGAAGATTTTAAAGATTTTTTCCTATATTTTTCAATGAAATACTTTGATACCCTATTGTGGCCCCACCCTACCCAGAGGGACCATGATTTAAACAATCTACACTACCACAGGAAGCTTCCACATAACTTTCAACATTTCTGGCCTAGTGGTTCTTGAGAAGATTTTTCCTATATATTTCAATATAAAAATCTGATTCCCTATTGTGGCCTCATCCTACCCTCTGGGGCATGATTTGAACAATTTACAATCTACACTACCTCAGGAAGCTTCCACATAACTTTTGCCTTTTCTGGCCCAGTGGTTCTTGAGACGAAGATTTTTAAAGATTATATATATATATATATATATATATATATATATATATATATATATATATATATATATATATATATATATATATATATATTTATATTTATATATTTCTATGTAAAACTTTGATTCCCTATTGTGGCTCCATCCTACCCCCAGGGGTCATGATTTGAACAATTTAGAATCTACACTAATTTAGGAAGCTTTCTCTTAAGTTTCATATTTTCTGGCAATGGTTCTTGAGATTTTTTAATGACCCCGCCCTTTTTTGCCTTTTTCTTGATTATCTCCCCTTAGAAGTAGGCTTGGCCCTTCATTCAAACAATTTAGAATCCCTTTTACTAAAAATGCTTAGTACATTCAGCTCTGGGGAGGTAAACAGGTCTAATAAGCAAAATTATAAAGATATATATGTTCACCATAGGTGGACTGTCAACAATTGTGAAATAAAATTCAGACAGCAATTACTTTCATGCATCAGAAAGTATCTTTACTTTCATCCATCAGAAAGTATTTGAGTCAAAATGATCCCCCCTAAACAGAGACAGGTTTCCTTGCTGGGGATTGAACCACTGACCTCTGATACAATAGTCCAAGTGTTAAACCCACTAGTCAGTGAGGAAACATCCAACATTGTCGTCGCCCGCGTGGCGCTGTGGTTAGAGTGTCTGCTCTAGAGTCGCGAAGTAAGGAGTTGATCCTTACGTCGCGGGTTCAAACCCCACTGTGGGACGTGGAGACCGGTCCTTTGGATGAGACCGTATAAACCGAGGTCCTGTGTCGCAGTAGGTGCTGGCACGAAAAAGACCCCTCACTGCTCAATGGCCGTAAGTGCCGAGCATAGGACAAAATTTGCAGCTCTCCAACGGCAAGTGGTGGCATCTCCATATGAGTGAAAAATTCTCAAGAGGGACGTTAAACAACATACAATCAATCCAACATTGTCCTATTCTGAAGTGTGTTTGCCCTAAATAGATTGTATTGATAAGCTTACCCCTTGTCCCCCTCTTTTTTTTCTTCTTTTAGCAGTATCCTCTTCTCTTCAATATCAATGTTTTGTCTGTTAATGGTTCCATTTCTTCAATGAAAATAACAAAAAAATGTGTTCATAACAATAGTAGTGGCATAGCATCCAGCATTATTGCTAAAATATACTGTATGTGTACTTAAAAAAGCAGGCTTCATATTTTAGCGGCTTTGGCGCAGACAGTGATGCACTAATTCATGAATACCGCTAAGAAATCATTTATAAATACAATGTACGGCATGGACATGTGTGGCGCTAATTCATGATTACGCCAACAACTCCATACCCAGTGATTGCGCTTAATTTTGAATACACCAATTTATGTACACGTACAAGTATGATGGATCTTTTAATAGATATTTTCTTTGAGAACCTACACTGGCCATTTGTGCAAGCTGTACTTTTTGAGAGAATACTTTAAGTATCTAAAATTTTCACAGTTCCATAGCTAGGACAGGAAACTAAGCAATGCATTAAATTAAGCAAAGATGAAGTCACTCCAGAAAGGATCACAATGGAAATCTCTGTCATATACAAAATCTAACTTTTGACAAGCCAGACTTTAGAAAAGTTATGTGTATTATGGTGCAACCGTGCTAGAGGTTCATGGCGAGATACTTTTGACTTGGCACTGCGTAACTCTGTCGGAAACCAGCTCGTTAGAAAATGATCTTTGGATGTAAGAGTCTGAGGTATATAAGGAGCGTATGGACATTAACTGAGGCTCTTACTTGTAGGAATAGGGGTGAGCTCAGTTAAATTTATTACTGGATACCATCATAAATCTTTACATAGCTTTACACTTTCAATTTTGAAATTTACTTCTGGATACCATTAAAAACCTTTACACAGCTTTACGCTTTTAACTTTGATCCACCCCTTCAAGCCGCAAGTCTCAAATGTGATGTCACTCGAAATTGTTTGTTAGTTGTACTTCCACAATAGAGTGTAAATATAGTCAAACCTCATTATCTCAAACTTGATGGGACCAAATTTTTTTAGATATCCGAGAATTCAAGATATCGAGGGTAAAAGCAGTTGGGACTCTCAAATCACTTTGACATACCCATGGTATTCTCCATATCAGTGTTAGAGAGAATAAAGTTCAACTGTAGTGAAATTTTTTAACGAAAAACAATGTAAAGTAGATGCAATATTATTTCTTTTTAAGCTCTCTGTAAAAACTAAATCTTCATGATTATTGCTGTACTGCTATGCCATTCATTATGATTTTATCGAATTGTGGTAGTGAAAGAATTCTGGTAAGATTTTACACAAAAATTTTAACAAATGTACAGATTTTAGTTTGAATTTCCCCTGTTCTTATACATTAGTCAACAGAGCTCACTGCACTTGCTAAAACACACTTTATATCATTTGCTTGAGAAAAGGTTGGGAACCTAAATATCTAATATGTTGCATTAAAGTCTCAGAATATTTTCCCTGTCCCAGTTGTGTTTCATCACAAAAATACATAATCATTATTTTAAAAACAAGAGGCCCATGGACCACAACGCTCACCTGAGTAACTTGGCCTTGCTGTTCTTCACCAGATTTCCCCCCTTGTAATACCTTTTGTTGCCTACCCCGGGGGATCATGATATGAACAATTTAGATTATACACTACCCCAGGATACTTTCACATAAGTTTCAGCTTTTCTGGCCCAGTGGTTCTTGAGAAGAAGATTTTTAAAGACTTTTCCTATATATTACTATGTAAAAATTGGATTCCCCATCATGGCCCCACCTTACCCCGGGGGTCATGATTTGAACAATTTAGAATCTACACTACCCCAGGATGCTTCCACATAAGTTTCAGCTTTTCTGGCCCAGTGGTTCTTGAGAGAAGAAATTTTTTTAATGACCCCACCCTATTTTTGTCTTTTCTTGATTATCTCCCCTTGAAAGGGGGGTTGGCCCTTCATTTTAACAATTTAAACTCCACATTACCAAAGGATGCTTTGTACCAACTTTGGTTAAAATTGGTGCAGTGGTTCTTGAGAAGAAGTTGAAAATGTGAAAAGTTTACAGACGGACGGACAGACAGACAGACGGACGACAGACAACAGGTGATCAGAAAAGCTCACTTGAGCTTTCAGCTCAGGTGAGCTAAAAAGATAGGACAGAGGAATCTAACAAGATGATGAACATTTTCCTGACAACCTAAAGAGCTCAAAATGAATCTATGACAGTCTAGAAGAGGCCCATGGGCCACAATGCTCACCTGAGTCACCTAGAGCCAGCTATTTTTCAGAAAAAGATTTTTTTAAAAATCTATTCGCATAAAAAAAATTGACCCAAAATTATGGCCCCAACCTATCCTCAAGAGGTTATGATATAACCAAATTTGAATCCACACATTGGGATGTGTCATGCTGCATGATTTATTGAATATTTTATTGTGATAGCTGTAGTAGAAATACTTAAGCAATGTTTTTAAAATGTGAATTTTGTAATGAATTGTATAGTAAAAATTAACAGTTTAGGAATACTTTGGACCCTTCTACTTTGGTCTCTCACAAGTTAATAATTATATCTGTGAACCATAAAAACATAAATATTTCTACTAAAATATGATACAAATCATGCACCATTGCCTAGCTATAAAGCTGAATCAGATATTATTATTTTTTTCTTCAGGGGATGAAGGACACATGGTCACATGACTCTGTTAAACTATGTCATAGTCTCCATTTATATAAGTTCAAAACCTGTAAAGCATAGTTCCTGTGCATTTCTTTGACAATTTTTTTCTTTAATTACCATCTTAAATTAAAAAAGAAATAAAAAGTTTTAACATTCTTGCAAACATTAAAAATTTCTGAAAAAGATTGATCCACTCCTCTGTTTCTCTAAACTGCGCATCCAGCAAGGGAGTGACGTCATACACGATCTGTTAGTACAGCAAGATCATACTCGGTAAATGCAGGCACGGTATTATTACGTAAAAACAGGTCATAATCAGTATGTGATGAAATATTTTGAGAAACGGGGAACACAAAAATTATTTTTGTATGGCTGATGACGGAAATCTTATGTAGGTATATCTTATTTTGCTTATTTAGCTTACGTGTGACGTCATAGTTGCTTTTTCCCTTACTTGAGAAATGTAAACATGACAAGTTTTTGTCGTGCTTATGTCTTCTTTAACGATGTCCTGTGCAATATTGAGGTCAGCTTCACCATTCGAAATTTTTACAGTTAATCAATAATATGAAGGACTTGCATTTCAACGTAAATTTAAAAATATTGAATGATAGAATTTTTTGTAAATTACGTCTTTTGTTGTTTAAGTGGTCTTAAAACGTAAGTAATTTTCCCTATCCAGATGCAGTGTGATAGAAGAAACTTGCTTTTTCGAATTTAAAACCCTATTCATACTCTGAAATATTTTAAAAGATACATGTCCATTTGCATATTTTTTATATATGCTTAAAAAATCCCATTATGGATAGAGAAATGAGCCCAGAAATATGGAGAATTAAAACTCCACTTAGATACTGTAGGGCATAGTATTTGTCAATCAATATCTCTAAAATAAGGTTAGAAACCTAATGATATAACTGCTTTTAGATATGTGGGACATACTTAGCTAGAAATACACAAAATATGAAAAAAATTGAATGACAAGTATTTTTTCAG